AGAAGACTGGCCCATACCTCAGACGGTAAAACAGGTGAAATCATTCCTGGGCTTCGCTGGGTACTACCGGCGTTTTAGTCCAGCCTTCTCTAAACTGACAGCACCCCTGTATGCATTAACCCATGGTATTAGTCATGACAAAAGAACTAATCCTGTCATTTGGTCCCCAGAATGTCAATGCGCATTCGACAAAGTGAAAGAGGCCTTAGTCCAAGCACCAGTTCTGGCATATGCAGATTTTACACAACCATTCAGGCTGTACACGGATGCCAGTTTTTCTGGTCTGGGGGCAGTTTTGGCCCAAGTCCAAGGAGGCAAGGAACGGGTGATCGCGTATGCCAGTCGTAGTCTCCATCCAGCAGAAAGGAATGACCAGAATTATAGTTCCTTTAAGTTGGAACTATTGGCCCTAAAATGGGCTGTGACTGAAAAGTTCAAGGACTACCTGTATGGTGCTGAGTTTACAGTTTTTACAGACAATAACCCTTTGGTGCACCTTGAAACTGCACGGCTTGGAGCCGTGGAACAACGATGGGTGGCCCAGCTGGCGAATTTCAAATATACCATCAAATATCGCCCAGGGGTACAAAATAAAAATGCTGATGCTCTCTCCCGGTTGCAGGACCACGAAGTGGCTCGAGTGGCTCAGGTCAGGAGGGACCAGGAGGAGAGCTGGATGGAACGTCAGGCCCGTGATCCTGACCTTGCTCAAGTGCGTCAGTGGAAGGAACATCACGTGTCCCGACCAGAGGTTCCAGATGCGTCACCTTTTATGAAACAGCTGTTAAGGGAGTGGGAGGACCTGGTGATCAAGGACGGCATGGTTGGACGGACACAGACAGGTACCGACCCCAACCAAAAGCTTTTCCAAGTGCTCATTCCAAAGGGAGAGGCTCAGGAGGTGTGGAGGCAGTACCATAATGAAATGGGACATCCTGGCAGCGCACGGACTCTGGCAGCTTTACGACAATGTTGCTATTGGCCCCGGATGATGGAGGAGGTGAAGGAATTGACAGAGAGTTGTCCAGTGTGCGTATGTTCCAAAGCCGGACCTGAGGTGAGAGCCCCTTTGGTACCCATCCAGACCTCTTATCCATTTGAGGTAGTGGGGATGGATTATTTAAGCTTGGGACGGCCTGAGGATCGATACCCAGCCTGATTCAGATATTTGGGTGTCCAGAACGCATCTTGACCGACCGGGGGGCTGCCTTCGAATCTATGCTTTTCCAAGAGCTCTGTCAGCTGTACGGGTGTAAGAAAAGCCGTACCACAGCGTACCACCCACAAGGCAATGGGGCTTACGAAAGGTTCAATCAAACGTTGTTGAACCTGTTGAATTCCCTTACAGAAACAGACCAAGCCCAATGGCCAGACCGATTACCGGCTCTTCTTCAGGCTTACAACAGCACTGTCCATAGTGCCACCAGGTTGACCCCGCACTATGTGGTTTTCGGAAGGCATGCCAGACTCCCAGTCGACTGGATTACAGGTCTGGGTCCTACCACAGAACACTGTACCTTACAGGGTTGGGTGAGACATCATAAAAAAACTTTGGATTTTGCCTACCAGACTGCAAAAGGTTACGTCCAACAGTGACAAACGCGAGATCATGCCCATTATAATCAAAGGACTAAACCGCTACCAATTCTCCCAGGGGAACGAGTCCTGATTCGCAATTTCCGTCGGAGAGCAAAGGGCAAATTGGGCCCAAGATGGACTCCAGAACCATACGTGGTGGTGACACAGCTAAGAGAGGGTCTCCCAGTTTATGTTCTGAGGCCTGAGGGTAAGGAAGCACCCACACGAACGGTACATCGTAATAACCTCAGATTATGCCCTTTGAATGTGTCGCCAGGTGATGCAGGAGACCTGCCACAAGGACGTGAGATTCCACGGACAGAACCACCAACTGGATTGCCCCCTCCAACATGGTGGCTGCCAGGGTTGGTTGTGGAGTATACCCAACCCTTAGCTGCACAGACTGAGGGTAACGTACCTGACCCCCCAGTGAATCCAGCAGCCCCTAGGGATGACCAAAATAGGGCCCCTTTACGACAGTCCACACGAACAAATTTTGGGCGTCCACCAGCGAGGTATGGTGACAAATAGATGGTCGGGGCGACCTGTATTTAAGAAGGGGGGGAAATGTCAAAGTTGGGACAGTTTATGCAGTGCTCCTTTACTGTGCAGAAGTCGGTTTTCCTTTAATCATCAATTGCATGTTTTGTTCCAATTATTAATGCATGTCTTTCTTTTCTGAGATGTTTGCTTGTTTTTTTGCATGGATTTGTGTTTTCCTGTTATGAGCACAGAAAATGAACTTCTGATTGAGAGCAGCTGCGCAGCTCATAATCACCGACTGATGCGGCTTGGGATTGGACAATCGCGGGATTGGGACTTGATATAAGGACGCTGACAGGTGTGTGTAAGGGAGGAGAGACACAGAGCAAAGCCGTCACAGAGTAACCGGGCAGAGAGAGAGAGACACGGAGCAAAGCCACCGCAGAGTAATCGGGCAGCAGCGGGACTCGCGTTCCTGGAACCACGTTGGGTTGCGGTACCGACGCTTTCTATCTCCTGGGAGAGATTAGAGGACGCCGCGGAAGGATCCAGCCGTGACATCAGAATCATTCAACGCCTGCCAAACAGCTAAGTGAAGGGACGTGAAATATTGTGGCTATTTCCTGCGTGCCTGTGGATGCTGGGAGGGAAGTGAATGCCCTCCTGAGCTGTGTCTTGAGTTTTCCTCGCAGCGGCAGAACCGGAGCCAGGGAGGGAAGAGTAGCGGGGCAGCGGCCCACCCCGACTGATGACGAGCTGGAGCAGACGCAATCCGTGACGGAGCCCAGACGAGGGGGGGCTGGGCCCTATCCTGGAGATTTCTAAAAGTACCAGAGACTGAAGGACATCAGGGAGGCCCCTGCAGGACAGTAAAGAGAACGCACCAGAGCCCCAGTTGGTGGGAGCGACTGTTCTTTTCGGAACAGCAAAGACAGTTCTTTTTATATTTTTTAACACTGTTTTAGAATAAAACTTTTTGATTATACTTTGGTTTTAGTCTTCCTTTAGCAGTGGAACTCATTAATGCTGGAATCAGGGAACCTGCTTGGTGACATTTATTCCTCAAGTAAGGATAAAAAAGTATCTGATTAGAAGGCTACTTGAGTACTGAGTATCATATGAACTAATATTTTTAAAATGATGACATCAAACAGACATAAAATAAGAAGTTATGGGCAAATATTGGTATTTTAAAGACTAAAGGGAAAAAATGTAAACAAATAAACAACATAATTACAAAATAACACATTTTAGGCAAAATTTAGACACAAACTGAGGGCAATATTTCCTGACATACAGGGTTTATTCAATTGTGTGAAAATGTAGCACGTTTAAAAAATATATACCGGGATAATACCGAAAACCGTGGTAATTTTGGTCACAATAACCGTGAGGTTAAATTTTCACACCGTGACAACCCTAATACAGACCATTTTAGATTAGGTTGCATTTCCTTTATTCCCAGATTATGTAGTTTGTAGCACTCATTATAATGTTGTAGAAAATTTCTGGCCAATCCACGTGATCGGTATCGGTGATCGGTATCGGTGATCAGCATTCTTTGATATCGGTGATCGGCAACAAAAAACCTGATCGGTGCATCCCTACACACTGGTAGGTATGAGCTACGATGTAGCCACAGCTGCCCCGGGGCGCATTGACAGAGGCGAGGCTGACGAGCACTGGCGCCACCGGTCCCTCCGACCACCACCAGCGGGCAACGTGGGTTAAGTGTCTTGCCCAAGGACATAACGACAGCGACAGACTGAGTGGGGCTCAAACCTGCAACCTTCCGATTACTAGGGGTGGGTGCAATTAATCGATGTGGCGATGCATCTAAAAGCTTAACATGTTGTTTCGGCATCAATTAATGAACGTTGATGCTTATAAAAACATAACATCAAAGTTTTGTTGCGAAGCCGGTACTAAAAAAAAAAAACACGTAACCGGAGCCTTAACGCGCGCGCCGGCCGGACTGTTTAGTGAGTGGCACTACCTCTTTGACCTCTTTCTCCATCCTGGAGACTGTCTCCAAACTACCGAAGAACTCAGAGAAGGTGAGGAGCATTACAAAAGCAATAGCTACTTTTATCGCGACGGATCTATGCCCGTATTCAGTAGTAAACAACAGGGGGTTTCGGTTTGTGGTGCGCACCATGGAGCCGAGCTATTAACTTCCTCACCAAAAACATTTAGCAGAAAAAGAAGTCCCCCACCTCTACGAGGAAACCAAAGGAAGTGTTCTGGAGTCCATGAAGAAGGCAACCGGGATAGCGCTCACATGCGATGCATGGACATCGGTTGCCACCAAATCCTTCGTTACTGTAACGGCGCATTTTGTTCTCGCGTCGGACAAGAACGGGTGGAAGTTGGTGAGTCACATTCTTCAAACTCGAGAGATGAGTGAGAGTCAAAGTATCACCATGTTGACATTTGCCCATCTCACACAACAGGAGGATGTAGGGGGACAAGAGGGAGGGGAGGGAGTATGAGTGTCACTCTGCTCTATTTTGTTGTATTCACCTCACTGTACTGAAGCTCCAGGCTGAATATATGTTCAGTTGAATTATGCACTTTTGTTCTGAAAAAATACAACATATTACCTTCAAATATAGCAGGTTTTTTCAGTTACCTATTCTCCAGACTAAATAAGCTGAAATATTTTATTTTGAGGAATGCACTTTTGATCTGTATGGCAGCTTTTTTGTAATGTTATCATATGCCAGACTCAATAAGTTTCCATTAAATAAATTTGATGGATGTAAAAATCCCCTGTGAGGACAGAACCAGAGAAGTTCTAACCGAGCTTCATCAGCCCGCCGTGGACCGGATCTCAGAAACAAATCCAGCAAGACCATTATTTAAATATTGCAACTCATGGGAGAGGTACTGTAATGTCCCACCATACAGTGATAATAATGTCATTCATCCACCAGTACCTGTGTCCATGATGTCCAGGTCCAGGTGGTGAAGAACACACGATGAATCAGTCCCAGCTGATGGATGATCCTGAAGTGGTAGCAGGTTTTCTTTAGCCGTGTTTAGCTAACAGCTGCAATAGAAACAAAGCAGGAGAGCTGATTAAGATGCTGCTTCAGAACAACGCAGGAGATTAAAGATCCAACGCTTTGGTTCTGATCAGCTGAGGACAGATCCAGTCTGGAAAAGAGGACCTTTGCTCACCAGAGTTCACGGAGTAGAGCTAACCGCCTCAAAAATTCTCCTCACACACCAGAACGACAAGCTAGCTCTGCTAGCAGCTTTCAGTTTCTGCTTTTTCCGGTGGTCGGTGACCAGCGCAAAGGTGCACTACCGCCACCTGCTGGACTCTCTGAGCTCTGATAAGCTAAAGAATAAACGAATTATGCATTTTCTACATGTAATCAATTGAATATAATACTATAATTATTATATAGCTATGCTAAAAATATTCTACATACATAAGTAATACACTATTCTAACACAACAGTTGACCTTATTTTATTTTATCTTCATTAAACCAGACGAGTCGATTGAGACTCATTCTCATTTGTGACACTCTGGCCAAGAGGCAGCAGCAGCAGACTCATAGTTAGCTTTACACCAAAGACGTTTGTATTTTGGACAGAGAACACAAGTGGTCTCAGAGAAGCTTCTGGAAGCTTTCGAATAGAATAGACTTCATTGATCCCACAATGGGGGAATTAGTTATAGCAGCATCAACACTTAAGAGAATAATTTGAAGAAAAAAGTTAGCAAAGCTACGTGTATTTATACACATAGGCAGTAGTCTAGAATTGTGACCTTCGACCACTAAAAACCACAAATAAAAAAGGAAAAAACTTTGGTTCCAACACTGCAGCATAGTGCAAGAGACACATACATACAATGTAAATCTGGTATTGAATGAGTATTGAACACATACTGAATATTGCATTGGTGGTATTGTGTACCAGGATAATGTCAGTACCAGATAAACTGAGTAGTTCTACACTCTTACTTGAGAGGGGATGAATGACCTATGGTAGTGTTGTTTTACATCTGGGATGTCTCAGTCTGCCTCTGAAGGAGCTGTCCATGGTCTCCACAGTGGAATGCAGTGGGTGGGAGGATTTTTTTTTAAGATGGTGGTCATCTTCACCAGCATCCTCCTTTCACACGTCTCCTTAACTGAATCCAGTGGGCAGCTCAGAACCGAGCCAGCCTTGTTATCCAACGTGTTCAGTCTCTTCCTGTCCTGATCAGAGCTGCCTGCACCCCAACAGACCACAGCAGAGTGGACAACAGAGCCAACCACAGAATGATAAAAGAATTTTAGCAGCTGGGAATGAACTCCAAAGGACCTCAGCCTCCTCAGGAGGTAAAGGTGGCTTTGGCCCTTCTTATACAGAACATCTGTGTTGTTGGACCAGTTCAGTTTGCTGTTGAGGTGAATAAGCAGGTACTTAAAGGTATCCACCTTCTCAATGTCTGCTCCCTGGATGTCTACCGGTGAGTGAGGAGGAATGTTTCTCACATAAAAGCTCTTAATAACCAAGCTCCATCATACATCAGTGATCTGATTGTTCCATATGTTCCTAACAGAGCACTTCACTCTCAGACTGCAGGTTTACTGGTGGTTCCCAGAATATCTGATAATAGGAATTTGATAGTTAAAACTGCTTTAATCTTTGATTTTGTCTGGTTTCCTTCTCATCTAACAAGTTTGGCAGACTCAAGAGACACAGATTAAATCTCAAAAACACATTTTCTTATCTTTGTTAAGACAGAAGCTTAGGATTCGTCACTTTCTGAAGTTCTGACAATTCACCCTGAAAACAAGTTCTCTGGACATAACGTACAAAACGTGAGTTAAATTTCAGATTTTTCTTTTTTGTTGTAGATCTTTTTAACCAAACCTGGTGACTTAAATCTTAAAAACGTACATATTTTATCATCTTGGTTAGGATTGAAGCTTAGGATGGAATCTGTGAAAAACTGAGGCTGGACTAAACAAGACAGCTTTATTTATATAGCACATTTGCCAAACAAAGGCAACTCTGTATGCTTTACAGCTGAAATAACCTTTGTTATCCTCCTAGCTTATAAAAACCACCACGCAGCACAGTCTTGACTCGGCTTCTTTATTTTTTTCCCCCACACTTCCTTGTGCCCTCTTTTTTTCTTCCCCTCCAACACAGCACATAGGAACCAAAACTAGGGCAAGGGGGTATATATAAGAATAACTTTGAGAGAATATAAAACAAATAATCGGATCAATTCTGTATTATTATACACAAAATAATTCCTTACTAAATGACACTAATTCCTCATTCTGATTGAATGAAACTGAAATTATTGTCATCCATATTAAAGATTACACTAGCTAGCTATTAAAGATTACACTAGCTAGCTATTTCAAACTCATCTGGAAACTTTGTGCTAAACATCATTAGCATAGAGCTGTTTATTTATTTTTTGTTCATCTACACCAAGATGTGTTAGATAATCTAAAGTAGTCATATCTAAATGCCTAGGTTTTATTTTGTTAACTTAAATCATGGAGATACAGCTCTGGGTAACGGCTGGAGACGGGGTTCTAGCCCTCCAGCTAGTGTGGATGTGCTCAGTTACCTGGATGTAAACAATAATATGCAATGGGTCTATATTTTATTGTGTTTGGTGAAAACTGAAGCAAAGGATGAAATCTGTGTATATAAAAAAAGACACTTATAAAATATTATATAATTTTAGATACACCTTTTCTAAAAGACATTTTTGTGCTAAGGATCCCAAACATTGTGTTTACTAAAAGAAGAGAAGTTGTGCTTTTAGAGGCACTTTTAAGTCAACTAAATGTTATATTAAACCCCATTTTGTTGCTAGAAGCCAAGTAAGAAGTCGCTCTGTCTGTAACCCCCTCAACCCTGACCCTAACCCTACCACCAGAACACTTAACTCATTAACTGCCAATGACGACTTTAAACGATCACGTGAGAGTCCACTAAAGTCATCATTTGCATATTTTTTTACTGTGTGGGCGTTGAAACGAGCCCCCCAATGTGAGAACAAACATCCCAGCTCTAAAGCTGATCTTCATCTGCGTACGACACACATCTTGTGATCAGGAAGCAGAAAATCCATGTGTTAGCAGATCGTTTTGGGCCGTTCCTGTAAAAAAAGTGAGGCTCGAACCGGAAAAGCTTCTGCCGATCACAACTCAACAACGGATTATGAAAAAACGTATAAAGTGTGAAACGCACAGATTCTTCCTAATTTTAGAGGTGAGTCTACTCTTTGTTTTTTAGTTTTGGTATTGGCATCATCCTAGCGCGCAATGTTCTGTGACTCTTAAAAATACAGTGAAAACGCTGGCAGCAAAGGGCTTTTCTGACCAGGAAACAGCTGGGAGTGAATGAGTTAAAAGCAGTGAAAAACAGAAGTCTAAAATACTTGACACAACTGAACACGGGTCAGTCGGGAGCACAAACACCCAACCCCCACCCCCGCAGCAGAGATCTGGCGAAGTACATGTTTGAAAAGTGCAGAGGTTTTTGACCCTAATAGCCTTCAATTTACATTGGTCAAGTCTTACTTGAACACAAACATACTGCTTGCTTGCAATCATTTAGGTTTGTACTGCCCACTATTGCCAGGGAAAATACACACTGTCACTTTTAATTTTTCCACAAAGCTCATTAACAGAAGGTTTCTATCCTGTATGAACACTCATGTGCTTGAATAAAAATGTCTTTTGTCCATATCTTTCTCCACAGAATTCACAAGCAAATGGTTTATGTCCTTTGAGGACTCTCATGTGAGTGTTTAAATGTGACTTTTGGGTAAATCTTTTTTCACAGAGCTCACACAAAAAGGTTTCTGCCCTGTGTGGACTCTCATGTGCCTGTTTAAATGCGACTTATTTTTAAATCTTTTTTCACAGAGCTCACAGATAAAAGGTTTCTGTCCTGTGTGGACTCTCATGTGACTGTTTAAATTTGACTTATTTTTAAATCTTTTTTCACAGAGCTCACAGATAAAAGGTTTCTGTCCTGTGTGGACTCTCATGTGACAGTTTAAATGCGACTTATTTTTAAATCTTTTTTCACAGAGCTCACAGATAAAAGGTTTCTGTCCTGTGTGGACTCTCATATGACTGTTTAAATTTGACTTATTTTTAAATCTTTTTTCACAGAGCTCACATATAAAAGGTTTCTGTCCTGTGTGGACTCTCATGTGATTGTTTAAAGTTGACTTTTCGGTAAATCTTTTTTCACAGAGCTCACAGATAAAAGGTTTCTGTCCTGTATGGACTCTCATGTGACTGTTTAAGTTTGACTTACGGGTAAATCCATTTCCACAGAGATCACAGATAAAAGGTTTCTGTCCTTTGTGGACTCTCATGTGACTGTGTAAAGTTGACTTTTCGGTAAATCCATTTCCACAGAGCTCACAGATAAAAGGTTTCTGTCCTGTGTGGACTCTTATGTGAGTGTTTAAAGTTGACTTTTGGGTAAATCGATTTCCACAGAGCTCACAGGCAAAAGGTTTCTGTCCTGTGTGGATTCTCTGGTGTCTGTTAAAACTTGATTTTCTCCCAAATATTTTTCCACAGTCACAACTAAATGATTTTAGTTCTTTCTGGACTTCCCTGTTTGGATCTACAGGTTGCTTAAATCTAACTGATTTCTTATTAACCAAAAAGCTGGAAGACCTGATTACTGAATGACTGGTTACTCTCACGTGTTTCTGGAGAGAATGCTTGTCATGAAATCGTTCACCGCACTCAAGACAGCTAAAAGATATGTTGACTGTCTTAACATCTGACTCAGAAGACCTTTTCTCATTCCAGTCCTGGTCTTCGTCTCCAGTTTCAGACCCAGAGTCTGTCATCCCAGAGTCTAGATTCATATCATCATCTCCACTAACTTCAGTCTCTGAAGAATCAGATGCTTGTTCATGAGGGTTCAGATCTGGGTTCCTGCTAGTTCCTGATACCCCACAAATTTCCGCTGTAATCTGGTTAGATGAGCTGCTGGTTGGAACATCTTTGTCTTCTATTTGCTGCTGATGAAGCTGTGAAAACAGACAATTCTCTTCATCATCCTCACTCTTTATAGAAACAGCACTGAACTGAAACCAGGCAGAATCAGTCTCCTCCTTCAAATGGAGATGCTCTCCCTTAAGACTGGTCCAGAGTTCCTCCTTTTCCTCCTTTATGTGGAGATTTTCTGAGTCCTGCTGGTCCACACCCGCACTCTGTTCTTCAGAATCTTCTTTAACCTGCACAATCTGTTGAACACCTGTAGGAAACAGAAACAC